TAAAAGGTATGATCCCACTGACAGGCCTACCACGCACTCCTCACGCTATTTTGCTGCGTTACTTAAATTAAGATATTATATCCATTTCATTAATATTGAACAAGTTATCAGCCACAGTTTTGCATTTTCACATGCGTAGCAGCCAGTAATATATAATACCTGCCAATAACGTAACGATTTGTAATACATTAATGGTATCTGTTATGTTACTGGCTGCGACACCAGCCAATAATATAACTTATTACACTGTGCTCAAAACATTATTACGTTTTTCATTCAGAAATTTGATTACATCATTGATAAGGTATTACGTTATCAACTTGCATTTCATTGAGAGTCGAAAATGAGTACGTTACTGACTTATTGACTGCTATATGTCAAGAAAATTTTACTATAATGTAAGTGTACAAAGCAGCATTGTCTTGGTAACAAACAATCTCTTTCACAATCAGAAGTGGGTTGAAATGTATTTCGATGTGGGAAGATAGTGATGCATTTTTGGGGGGGTAGGTGATATGCAAATCACAGTTCAGTAAAGCTAATGGTGACTTCAGCCGAAGTATGCACTTCAGCACAGACACTTCAGATGTTGTAATATAATCAAAAATGTTTAATTAGATATCACATAGTCTGGATTGTGTAAATATATTGTTCAATATTTTAGGTTGTGTGTCTATAAGTTATAAAGAAAAAAATAGATAAAACCAGCACCTGAAATGCTACCAACACGTTTCGCAAAGAGTGGCCTGATCATCAGCGAAATCACTGCTTTACTAGCACTTGTTCAATAGCACAGGGCAGCTGTTCATGATTCAAAGCTTAAGACTGCTCCTTCATGCCCAGTACAGGCTGACACACTGAGCACCACCGAGAACCATCAGCTTTAAAATGTCTTTAAAATGGGTAACAGTTCAGAAGGAACCTGGCAAGTGTCAGCTAAGTTAGTTCATGGCACATTAAACAAACAAGGTTCCTGTGTTGTTGCTGTGAAATGTCATATAGGTGGAGCACACAGCTGGAGTCGAAGGCAGAGTCTGCCTCTGGTCAGGCCCTCATGGCTGGGGGATGATGCGATGGGGTGGCACCTGCCGTTGAAAGACAACCACCCAAAATGAGCAGAGGCACACAGTCACACCTGGAAGGGAGAACACCTGCAAGTGCATCTGGAGGAACACACCCAAGCGAATTCAGCAACAGCTTACAATTTCTGTTAACCTATTATGGCAACTGTCAGAAGAATGGAGGCGGAAGAGAGAGACTGCATTCACCTAGAGTCACGTTGGCAGGGCAACATCTAACATCTGACTCAAGAGCACATTCCTAAGGAACCAGCAGTTACCCAACTGGTTATTCATGTATTCTTACCTACCTTTAATACTTTTCAAAATATCTGTATTGTTGTGTAGACTAAGAGTAATAGACATTTTAAAGAACTCCTGAAACCATAGCAACAATCAATACTACCAAGACCATTAATATTTGCTTTTTACTTATTTTCATCTGCTTTAATTACAGCCTTTTTGGAGCATAAGGTATAAAAGTATTTAAAAGTAATTACAGAATAAACCGGTTTTGCCTTATTACTGTAATTTGTATGCATGCAGATACTTCTGTCTCCGTTAGTGAATGACAGTTCAGACTTGGGTCGTTAGCACACATTTAAAGCTGAAAGTATGCAGTTAACGCCTGTCTGCTGGGATAATGCTGAATGAGTCAGAGCAAACAGGGCACAAAGGACACGTCACACCTAAACGAAACTGAACAAAAACCACACTGCTGTGCCACTGCGGTCAAACTCACCTCCTGCAGCCACTGTCATCGTCCTTAAGAGGATAACAGTGTTAAGTATAAAGTTAAAGCTCCTATGTAGCATTTTGAAATCCTACTAAAATATCTGTACGTACTGATTAACCAGAGAAAAGTCTCCTTGCCAAGATAATGGTTATCTGCTTTGATCTTCCAGCTGTCATGCATTTGTCGTATTTGTTTGAGACAAAACTTAGACAGAGTGATTTCATGCTTCTGTTTGATCTGTGTCATATTTGACCAGGGAACAGCTCGGCTGCTTGGGACTCAGCATGATAGCAGAGAGTTGGGCTGAGTAGCTGCCATAAACAGCCTGGATCCCTGAGCATGTACAGAAGGCAGAAAACTCCTTCCTCCTCAATACACTGTGTGAGAATAGTGCCCAGACTATCAATCCGACTTACTGCCTCAGCCGAGAGGCAGAGAGATACGTCTTCAGTGTTCTGTCCTGTCTTACCTACGTCGCAGGTCATCTGGGGAAAAGCCATCAAGGTAATGAAGAAATAACGTATCCATCTACCTGTATTCGTGCTAACAACACAAATACATTCAACTTATATACAGACCATTAAGGTCAGTATTACTCCCCACAAAACATTTATTGATTCGGTAAACATTTGCATAACATTCGAATCATGAATTTCTGCACGTTTACTGTGTTACCTTGAGCCAGCAGGTATGAGATCATGGGAAGGGGCAGAATGCAGTGCCGTGGTGCACTGTCATCTCACACCTCTGGCACCAGGGTTTGGGTCTCAGCCTTGAATCTGAATGTGTGGAGTTTGCATGTTCGCCCCATGTCATCGTGGGGCTTCCTCCAGCCCCCCCCCATCCAAAAACACATAAAGATGAAGAGGAGTTGCCAAACTGTGTGTGTGTGCCCTGCAATGAATTAGTGCCCCATCCAGGGTTGTTCCCTGCCTTGTGCCCATAGCTTCCAGTATGGGCTCCGGACCCCCCCGCACACAACTCTGTGTTAGACAAGCCGCTATAGAAAATGGATGGAGTTTATGGTTATGCTCATGATTTCTTTGAAAGTGCAATATCCTGCATCAGGCAAGTTAGGAGTAGCCTGAAAATCTTAAAATCCTGTTCAAGTTTTAATCTTAAGTATGTGCTGAGTACATTCTAAAAAGGACACCCTGCGCAATATACCTTCCTGCCACAAGGGGGAGCTCCAAGAAAGTATGTGCTCCAATTGAATGACATGATAAGTAAATAAATAAACAAAAACAGGAATGCATGAAGACTATTACATTAACGTGAATAGAAAAAAGTAAGTATTGCAGGATTCATAGTGATACAGCAGTGTGGAGACTGAACAACTCCACCTCTGGGGTTTACTGACACTTTGTCTCTGAGGAACAGCAAACGCTGGGCATGGACTCACTCCTGGCTGTGCGGCCCAGCGCACCCATGGCTACTCATCTGCCCCATGCAGCTCACATCTTGCTTTCCTGTGTGTCCACCAAGTACAGGTCTACGGAGTCCACATGGTTGGACGTTACTCTGTTCATCAAAGACTCTCTGCTGGGATGACCCCTCCCACCATCCTGGGACCTGATGTCAGGTGACTCGCTTGGGTCAGCTGGTTGGCCGGGGTGAGCAGTCTCCGATTCCCTAATCACCTTCACTTCCCTGAGCTGGTCATCGTCAGTTTGGTCCTTCGCAAAACTGACAAACACCTTGGGAAAAGAGAACACACATGCTTTTTCTCATTAGCAGCTGAGGAAAAACCTCCCAAACACCAAGACAGCATGAGAAGCCCCCTACCTGATCCAAAGTTGTCTGAGACACAGAGTAGTCTTCAACTGACAGCTCTTTGCTATTACTGGAGAGAATGCTGAAGATGTGTGCCAGGGAGCCACCTTGTGACTGTAGGTGGTACTGCAGCACATTCTGGTGTCGCTCCTTCAGCTCAATGCCAGGGAAGGAAGACTTGATAAAGGCGTGGACAGGGCAGGGATCTTTGGAAGGCTCCGCAAGCCGCAGGATGATGGTGTAGCCGTCCCCAAACCTAAGAGGTCATAGTGCCTTTAGTCCTGTATGGTAATGTCACTTTTTACCTGCCCCATCTTGCTGTCCATGGCCCACATGGAGGTGAGAGCGAGCTTGGCAGCGAAGGGCAGCCACCTGCAGGGGGGCCCAGGGAGCTGGGGGTTAAGGGCCTCGCTCAAGGGCCCACAGACCTGACTACCCTGCTGAGGTCAGGGCTCAAACCAGCAGCTTTCTGATCACAGGCAGAGAGGCTTAGCCTGCTGAGCCACACGCCCCCCCCCC